GGTTCGATTTCGTTACTTTGACGAACGCTTGATTTCACCACGACGATACTCTATCTCCTCGCTCTACCAGTGTATTTACCAAACAGTTGTGTCCGCTTCATTATACAGTCAGAAGAGACGGGCTGGTAGATGGTACTGTCAGAAAGACTTACCCTTGACCGGGGTACGGGTGGGAGCCGGCTTCGTACAAATCCCGGACGGTAATGATAAACTTGAGTCTACTATTTGGAACTTACTCGACATTTTCTGTACACATCCGTGGCATTTTTGCTCTATCTGCTCAGTACTTAGTTTTGTTAGTTTTAGTAAAGGTTTTACGGCGCTCGCAACTGCATAAGGTCATATGAGCGCCAGAAGATTAGGGGTGTTACAAGAGAGTAACAAACATAAAAAAGAAGAAGGGGAGATAAGGACGATAGATGTTTGATAGGAAAGAAGGAGCAAACCATACCAGAGCACCTGTCAACCACCCACGTACCTAGTTTTGAGAAATTTGACGTTAGCAATATTGAGTTTCACGACATGTCAAGCTTTTTCGAAAGCAATTCCTCGAATATCTGGATAACGACTCAGAATAATCTTACGGTTTTGATAGAGCTGATACACCATTTGTGAGGCAGCGTGGTTGAATCAGGCGCTCGTCAAAATAATCAAAAATGAAGAAACTTGCATTTTTCCACATGTTTGTGAATTTTTATCGAATTTTTGTTATTTGGCTCAACACCCTTCATGCCCATTAAGGAACTCATTTCTGTGTGAATTTTTCTGAAAAACGTTGATTAAAGGCACAAAAAATGTAAATTTTCAGTTACCACGGATTCTTAAGCTAAGGAACTAACTAATTTTCGGCGGCCATTTGCTCTCCAATTTTACCTCTGAAAACAGGTCACCCCTACCTCCTTCTTTCGCAAATATCTCGACTTGTATTCGAGATAAATGGATTTTTTTCATCCTAATAAACACCAGTGAACAAGCTTTAAGATGATATCAATAGCTCTACGTGCTCCAAAATTGACGAGAGCCTGATTCCACCACGCTGACTCACATTTGATTTCTGACCTCATGGTCTTAGTAGATCAAACGCTACCAAAAGTGCCAGATAGAGCTTTTTAGATTAAAGGGGAGCGAATTATATTCTTAATGAAGTTCTCCAAAACCAGTAAACTTGCATTTTAAACATTGACATACTGGTTTATAGAGGGAGATTTATGAAAAAGGACTGCAGAAAGAAGGGGTATGGAGAGAGGGAGGGGGGAAATAAAGTAGACTTTAAGTCGTTATCTTTCCTTAACTATCGTAAACTCAAAGTAAAAGCTAGCTGAAATGGTAAAAAATGGTATGACGTTAACGCCCCTATCAACACTATTAGGTTATTTAAGGGGCGGGACCTCCTCGTTTAACGTCCGTCTGCGATAGGAATGAGACAAGTGGGAAGTTCGCGTAAAGTGCCTTTCCCAAGGACACAACGTCGGACCGAGCTGAGGCTTGAACCCTCGAACCCGCAATCTCATGATTACGAGTCCGGAAGCTTAACCACTAGGCTACCGACGCCACCCAAAGATAGCTTATTCATGTTTAAAAGGAACAAAAAAGGAAAAAAAAGTTTTCGCTTATTTATTTTTAAAAGAAAAAACAACTACAAAGAATCTCATTGTTCTGAATCAAATCATTTCAGAGACTAATGATCTGAGATAAAATTCATTTACTCTCTTCCGCAGGCGCACAGCAAATATCGCGTAGGCTACGAGAAAGACGAAGAGGGAATGCCTCGGGGACAAGAGGAGTAAAAAGATTGCATTTTATTGAGCTCCGATTTCAAAATCTGCGTCCACGACATGGATTGTGGTCACAAGAATGCAAGCTCATATGTGAGGCAGCGTGGTGGAATCAGGCTCTCGTCAAAATAATCAAAGTGAAGAAACTTGCATTTTTCCGCAGGTTTGTGAATTTTTATCAAATTTTTTTTTTGGCTCAACACCTTTCATGCCCAATAAAGAACTCATTTCTCGGTGGATTTTTCTTTAAAACGTTGATTAAAGGCACAAAAATGTAAATTTTCAGTTACCACAGACTCTTAAGCTAAGGAAATAACTAATCTTTGGCGGCCATTTTCTCACTAATTTTACCCCTGAAAATAGGTGACCCCCACCTCCTTCATTTGCAAATATCTCGACATGTATTCTAGATAAATGGATATTTTTTCATCCAAATAAAGGCAAGTGAACAATAACTCTACATACTCAAAAATTGACAAGAGCCTGATTCCACCACGCTGCCTCACATATCGCTTCTCTTTCACCACCCAAGCATTACAAAGTTCCATCCATCTGCTCAGTGCGTAGTTTTGAGAAATTCGACGTTGAAGATTTTGAGTTTCACAACAGGCCAAGCTTTTCGAATGCGGTTCTGTGAATATCGTGATAACGACTCCGAATAATATTAGGACTTTGGCAGAGTAGATAGAGCATTATTTAATTAGTTACTGACCTCTTGGTCTTGGTAGCTCAAAACGGCCAAAATGTCAGATAGAACTTTGTTGGGATTTCTGTTCATTTTTTCTGAGAGTATGACTCCTCCGAATCGCGTGTTAGGAGTTTGATTAACTGTGACCGACGTCTGTGTTGAACAAAGACCTTAGAATTTTACTTATAGCCCCCAAGGTGGTGTCGCAGTCAGGCGTCGCCGGTATAGGGGTTTAGAGATGATATCATGAGCGAAAGGAACAACTTTGATTATTTAAAAAAAAAAGAGATCTCAGTTTGACTTTTACCCTAGAAAAAAAATCAGACAAATAAACAGGACGGCATTATGTCTAATAACAAGAGAGAAGATGAAATATAATTTCTCTGTGTATTTCCCCCCAGTCCTTAAAAATATAAAATATTTATGACTAACAAAGTAAGTGTTCTAAAACATTAATGAAAGGCACACAAATAAAGTACATTTTCAGTTTTCGAGGACCCTCAAGCTTTGTAGGTCACGATGCTGTGGCGGCCATTCTCAGGCTAATTCTACCTCTGACATAATTTTTTAGTTTTTAGTTTTAGTAAGTGTTTTACGGCACTTGCAACACAATAAGGTCATATAAGTGCCGAAGATTAGAGGTGTTACAAGAGAGTAACAAACACAAAAA